AGCCAATAGCCTTTTTGGGCCTTGATTTCTTTAGCATCAAAATGAACATGCTAGATTACATATATAAAAAAATTGTTTTGGATGCTTTTTCTAAGTACCTTCAGTAGTTTTTAAGACTATGTGTATTGGATTCAGATTATATGTAGAGTTGAATATTATATGCAACATGTATTGCATTTGAAAGATCTATTTCATTAAAAATGATATATTTTTCAGGCTATATGTATATATATCTATGCTACTGGTATTTTAAATACCAGCAGGTTCTATGATGGACAGGTTTCAGCTGAGCTTCCAGACTAGGAAGGAGAGATGGACTACTTCTGAATATTTTGTCACTGAAAACCTTATGAATAACAGTGGAACACTGTCAGATAGCACGAGAATACTGAATGTTGAAACGTGATGAAGACCACCAAAATATTATCAGATATGGTGCTGAAAGATGAGCCCCTCAAGTTGGAAGGAACTCAGAATATGACTGGTGAAGAGCTGTCTCCTCAAAGTAGAGTCGACTGTGATGCCACCAATGGAGTAAAGCCTGTGGGATCTTCCTTTACTGATGGGGCACAACTCAAAACCAGGAGAGACATTCATTAACAATCAGAACATGGAATGTATGAAGTATGAATCTAGGAAAATTGTAAGTTGTCAAAAATGAAATGAAGGGAATAAAGATCGATATCCTAGGTGTTGATGAGCTGAAATGGATTGGTATTGGCCATTTTGAACCTGACAATCACATGGTTTACGATGCCGGAGACAAACTAAAGAGGAATAAAGTCACAAATTAAAGAGGAATGGTGGTGGTGGTGGTGTGCCTTGGAGTCTGTTCCAATTCATAGTGACCTTGTATATATAGGGTTTCCAAGGCTATAAATCTTTGTTGTTGTTGTTGTTAGGTGCCATTGGGTTGGCACTGACTCACAGCGACCTTATGAACAGCAGAACAAAACAATGTCCGAACCTAGGCCAACCTCACTACTGTTGCCACATTTGAGTCCATTGATGCTGCCACCTGGCCAATCCATCTCATTGGGGGGTCTTCCTCTTTTTCTCTGACCCTCCATCTTACCAAGCACGATATCCTTCTCCAACGACTGCTCCCTCCTGACAATATGTCCGAAGTATGAGAGACGAAGTTTGGCCATCTTGGCCTCTAAGGAGCACTCTGGCTGCACTTCTTCCAAAACAGATCTATTGGTTCTTTTGGCAGCCCATGGTACTTTTAGTATTCTCCTCCAACACCATAATTCAAAGGCATCCATTCTTCTACGGTCTTCCTTTTTCACTGTCCAGCTTTTGCATCCATATGAGGTTATTGAAAATAATCTTTATGGGAGCAGAAAGCCCCATCTTTCTCACGCAGAACTGTTGACTTTGAGGTTAGCAGACCGACTCATAAACACTACACTACCAGATCTCCTTTATAGAGGAATAATGTCATCAAAAAGAACATTTCTAGCCGTGTCTTGAAGTATAATGTTGTCTGTGACAGTATAGTACCCATATGCCTATAAGGAAGGCCAGTTAATACCACTGTTGTTCAAGTTTATGCACCAACCACTGAAGCCAGTGATGATGAAATTGAAGAATTCTACCAGCAACTTCAATTTGAAATTGATCAAGTATGCAATTAAGATATATTGATAAGTACTGGCGAGTGGAATGCAAAGGTTGGAAATGCAGTTGCAAAATATGGCCTTGGTGATAGAAATGATGCTGGATATTGCATGATAGAATTTTGCATGACCAATGACTTGTTCATTTCAAATACCTTTATAAAGCAACATAAAAGATGGCTATACACATGGACCTCACCAGATGGAATACACAGAAATCAAATTGCCTACATCTGTGGAAAGAGACGGTGGAAAAACTCCATAGCTCCCTGGAGAAGGACATCAAGCTTGGTGAAATGGAAGGTCAGTGAAAAAGAAGAAGACTCCCAATGAGATGGATTGGCACAGTGGCAGCAACATCGGGCTCAAGCAGCAATGATTGTGAAATTGATGCAGGACCTGACAGTGTTTTGTTCTGTTGTGTGTATGGTTGCTATGAGTGTAGGTGACTCCTCTGCCCCTAACAGCAACAATGTCTATATATGTAACTCTATCTTCCAACAATGTCTATATATGTAACTCTATCTTCCAACAATGTCTATATATGTAACACTGTCTTTCAACAGTGTATATATATGTAACGCTATCTTTCAACAATGTATATATATGTGGCTCTATCTTTCAAGTGGACAAAGCAGAAACAAAAACTGCTTTTTAAAGACAACTAAAGAATCAGTAATATATTTTTTTACCTTATTACATATGAAGAGGAGCAATGATATAAGCAGTAAATAGCAATGTTGTAAATGTATTTGTATGTTGTTATTGTCTTTAAGTGCTGTTGAGTGGCTTCTGACTCATGGTGATCCTGGATAGGGCTTTCAAGGCTGTAAACCTTTGTGGGAGCAGAAACCTTCATCTTTCTCTTGTGAGATGACTGATGGGCTCAAACCGCCAACTTTGTGGTTCCCAGTCCAGTGCTTATCCTATGGAGCCACCGTACTGCCTATGTATTTGTATAGTACAGATCATATCTACTTGGAATAATTTACTATTATCACTAAAATGTTATGTGATGTCGAGTTGCATAGTGACCCTGTATAGTGTTTCCAAGGAGTGGCTGGTGGGCTTGAACTGCCACCCTTTCTGTTATCAGTCCAGTGCTAGACCTGCAGTTCTCCCTAAAATGTCGAGGGCAACTATCTTCCTTTCCTTACAAAATGTAGAGATCCATATAGGACGAGTTGGGTGCTCTCCAGTTGACTGTCTCATGGTGACCTCATGTACGACAGAACAAAGTTTAGGCCCATCTTGCATCCTCATGATTCCTGGTGAGTTTGAGTCCACTGCTGTGGTTTTTGTGCCAGTCCATTTCATTGAGGGCCTTTCTCATCCTTGCTGGCCCTCTGCTTCACCAAACTTGATGTCATCCTTCAACAATTGGTCCCTCATGATGATGTGTCCAAAGCAAGCGGGTTGGTCAGTTCTGCTGTGATCCATAAGGTTTTCATTGGCTAATATTTGGAAGTAGGTTACTAGATCTTTCTTCCTAGTCTGTCTTAGTCTGGAAGCTCCACTGAAAGCTGTCCACAGGTGATTCTGCAGGTCTTTGAAATACTGGGCATAGCTTCCCTCACCACGGAAAAATGCAAGCTATGAGAGAGTGACAGACGAGTGGTAGAAAGTTCACTGACTCTAGCAATATTAGACTTTAAAGAAGCAATTTATAGTTCAGTGTCTGGTAGTATGACAAAGTAAGCATTCTTAAAACCCTTTTCACTCCAAAAAAAAAAAAAAAAAAACATAAAAACAAGACAGAGTGCTTCAAATAGAAAATTTTTCATTTTAAATGCATAGCTAATTTGACAAGAAAGTTACAGAAATTCTCAGAGGCCAAGTTTATGAGTGAAAATTCAGAGAAAGATC